TCAGAAGTCTGAAATGAGTCTACTAGGCTGATGTCAAGGTGTCGGCAGGGCTGAAGAATCTGTTTACTTGCCTTTTCTAGCCTTTCAAAGTCAGTAATGGTGAGTTGAGTCTTCTCACACCACTGATTTCTTCAGTAGTCACCTCTCCCTGTGCTCTCTTCCTCATCCACTTTTGAGGACCGTCCTGATTACATTGGGTCTATTCAGGGACTCTCCCCATCTGCAAAGTCCCTTTGCTTGTAACGTAACATATTTACAGATTCCAGGGATTAGGATGTGCACATCTTTGAGCAGGGGGGTAAGATGCTGCCCATCACAGGAACTAATTCTGATTTAAAAAGTACTGTGAGCCACCCCTCCCCTCTACATCTATGTGTGGGATAGCATCCATGGCTATTTTTTCTTTTGGCATTGTGTCTAAGAGTGCACTCTCTGGAGTCCGACTGTTGTGGTTATTGTGGGCTCAGCCACTTACTAGCCTAAGCTCTGGTATTCACTTAAGTAGAATAAGACTAATAATGCTGCCTGCCTTATAGGATTGTTATGAAAATAATGCATATAAAATACTTAGCACAGTGCCTGCCACATAGTAAGTGTTCAATAAATGTTAGCTATTATTCAGTTTTGGAGAACTTACCTAATATAAAATTAGGTAAATTCTTAATTAGAAAAAAATAGAACATCCCATTGGATTATTCTGAAGCAAGTCCTTTACCTAATTTTACATTAGGCAGTAAATTCCTTTGGCTGTAGAGGTCCTTGGATCTACATTTACTGCTCCATCTATTCCATTTGAATACTGAATGTGTCTCTGGACCATCAAGCACATTATAGATAAAAGCTCCATGTATTCTCATTTTCTAAAGCAGGAGCTTCTGTCTGGGAGGGCCCTGGATTGCAGCCTCAAGTAATTCCACTATAGACGATTAGCGTCTTGTTCAGGCTCCATTTGTACATCCCTGCCAAGTACCAGGAAGGGCTATGAGTCCATGAGAACCAACCCAGGAACATGCAGGCCTTCTGTGCAGACCTAATGCAGGCATTCAGGCACCAAGCAGAAGTGCCTGCCACATGTGTGCACACAGGAATAGATGCTTTAAACCATGACTATAATCTACAGGGAAATTAGCATTGTTAAGCCTCTGCAGACTCAGAGCCTCACTCTGAGATAACTAGAGTGTCAGTGTCTCTGCCATTGCTAATTAAATCTAAAAACATATTTTTCACATAAGATACCTATAATCTATAGAAAATACCATTACATTATAAAATATACTTTAACTCTTTTTTCCTGATTATATTTATAAATCTGTACATTAAGCCTCTTTTTGGTTTTCATCAAAAGTAACTAATGTACTAGTTTTTAAATATCTTTATTCACATATTGGTATATTGGTCAGTTTGAATGCCATACGTATGATAAAATAGATTATAAAAGTATCACATTTACAACAAAACTATTATTTTATATAACTGAATCATATGATATGCTGCCTCTTGCAATAGTAACTCAGTGGATCCAACTCTACCCTCTGAATGGACCAACTTCATGATTCTCCTAGAAAGTTGAGTGAGGTGTAGTTTCTTGGTGCTTTTTTCTGTGATCCAAGGTTCCAGGATCGAGGAGAGACAGGAATGAGAAAAAGGATATCCTGTCACATCCTAAAGGCCCACAACTGCTATGCTTTGCAAGATATGGGGGAGAGGGAGCACACAGTGGAAGAGGAAAGAATTATTCCCAACAATTATATTGAACATTTCTAAATTGTCAGTATCAAGGATTACTTTCTAAAATACAAGTTTTTAGACAGAAGTTATCTAGCAAGCCATTAATTGAAATGGGTATGCAACATAGTCAAGGAGATGCTATGCTTCCAAAACAACATACATCTTATTTATCTTTAATTTTAAAATAATTCATTCCTTTGCTGGGTATGCAAGTGAGCAATGGAGAAAGTGGTGCATCTGCAATACCTGGAATTAAAAAAAAAAAAAATGAAAATAATCACAGGGCAAAGATTTGAATGAATTTAAAAATGGGCAAGATCAGAGTGTGGATCATGGGCCGCATTAAGTGCAGAAGCAGAATATGCAATATAGGGCAGGATGGGATAGCAGGCTAGCCATGAGAAAGCTCAGAGGTAATTAGCAAAGAGAAGATTGAATGTAGTATGTTGTTAATTCTTCTGGCTTGTAAAATAAATTGACTACTTACCAGCTGGTGCTAAGGATTTTAACGCTTCCAGAAGATGCGGACTAGAGAACTTTACTAGGCACCGGAGGGGTTCTTCTCTTTCAGCCAAGATGCCCCTATTTAAGTCACTTTTGAATTTTGTTTCAAGCTGTCAACAAATATAAATGACTTGAATATATTGATTGGAATGGCAAAATATAATGAAATTACACATTTCATTAATTTCTGTCATCAAGCAAGATAGGGATCAATGGGGTTGGGGACCATTTAATTTGCTAATTGCAAATGTAGAGGGCAACTAGCATATCAAATGATAGCACACGCCAAATACCAGGCATGCACAGTGCCTGACACACAGGAGACCTTGAATGTCAGTTCCATCCTCAGGTGCTCTTTTTTGCATTCTTAAGGGAAAATTAGCACTATCTTTTGTAATCTGTCATTTCAATACAATAATGTCATGTCTTTTGAATCACTACCACGATTTCTTTTTTACTTCTGAGTATAGAAGATTTCAAAGACATTCATAAGTAAGGAGCACAACTGGAGGCCAGACTTTTTTCATTTATTACCCTACCTCCCGTTCCCTATTGCCCACCCCCACTGGATTATTCTGAAGCAAATCCAGGATACCATAGTGTTCCATCTGTAAATATTTAAGTATGTATCTAAAAGAGACCTAAAAAGGACTCTTTTTCACCTCCATAACATTACTACACATAAAAAATTAATAATGATTTCTTAATATCATGCTACTTGGCTCTTAGAGTTTAATTTTTTTTTACTTAAAGTGATCCTTCACATTTAGAGGCTGTATGCTAAAGTATGTACAGGGTGAGTGATGTCTGCAACTAACTCAAATAGTTCAGAATAAAGAAAGAAAAAGAAAAAAAGCAATTGTGGTAAAATGTTAATAATTGGGAAACTGAAGCAAAGGGGAAATGAATATTCACTGTAATATTCTTGTTAGTTTTCTGAAGGTCTGACATTTTTTCAAAACAGAAAAGGTAGGGAAAAATTAGTAGCAGGTATGAATCCATGTACAACTCGACTGACAGAGCCATTTTAAGATGTGTGTAAAGGGAAGTTTTGTTGATAAAATCTTATGTATTCTCCATCAGGGGTTATCTAACTTTAGTGTACGGAATCAGCTAGAGCAGGGGTCCCCAACCCCCAGGGCCGTAGACAGGTGTCAGTCTGTGGCCTGTTAGGAATCGGGCCGCACAGCAGGAGGTGAGCAGCTGGGGTGGGTCGGGGGAAGCAAGCAAAGCTTCATCTGTATTTGCTGCCACTCCCCAGCACTAGCATCACTGCCTCAGCTCCATCTCAGATCATCAGGCCTTAGATTCTCATAGGAGCACCAGTCCCTGGTGCTAAAAAGGCTGGGGACTGCTGAGCTGGAGGGCTTCTAAAACCACATGGCCAGGTCCTACCTCCAGAATTCCTGACTCAGTAGGGCCAGGGCAGAGCCAAGAATCTGTATTTCTTAACCCATTCCCAGATGATGCTGATACTGCTGGTCCAGGGGCCACCCTTTGAGAACCACTGTCTCACAGTATGAGCTGTTTAAAGGAACTGCATTAAAACCTGCCATTCAGGAAATTAAACTTGAAAGGTATCAGTCAGCTTTTCCCACAAAAAAATATCAAACCAAATAGGTATTGGGCCTGAGTGAGCCAATTGATGGCAGATTTAAAGTGTGGCCTGTAGCTGTAGAGAGTATTAAGCAGAAAAATTTTATTGGAAGGTTTAGGGGAAGGAGGGTGTTGTGAATATGAGCATGAGTATTAGGTTGGGAGGTCATGATATGAACGTTGAATTCTTCTCATGGTGGCCATGGGCTTGCCCTCCACCTGGTCTTCCTGGTGGGAAGTGGCACACTTCTGTAATGAGCTAGGTTTACAGTTCTGACTAGGCTACTGGTTTTTCTCCATGTGATGCAACTAGGCTATTAATGATTTATTTATTCACTCTTATTCAATAAGTATTTATGAGCACCGACTATACTGCAAGTATTGTTTTAGGTGTAGATGGGCTAGAAAGGTATAGCCTACATTTTTTCCCCCTCAAAAATACAGATCACAGCCAGTTATACATAACTGAATTAATATGAAAAATGAAATGAAAAAGCAAATTCAGAATTTCCAAAGGTCTTCTTTACTAACAGAGGAACTTACTAAGTATAATAAGTCTATTTTAACTCATATATATACAAAATTAAAGTGACAAGTGAATAAGAAACAGTTTCTTAGAACCGGTTTCCACTTGAAGTTTTTGTTCTTTTTAAAAAAAAAAAAAAAAACATTGAAAACTGTAGTTAGTTTACAGGAACGTCCTACCTTGTATTGTGCAAATTCTAGTCTTGGTTGAGCATAGTCTCCGAAAATTTCTTGAGTCACTCTTTGGACTCTATCTTTTTCTACCCTGTTTTCATGAATGATCCTTGGATCCACTATTGATGAAAGATTTCAAATGAAACAGCTGTTAGAAATATATTTCATCCTTAAAGTATCCTCTTTTCATTCCTAACTTTTCAACTTATTTGCATAATTTAAAGATAATGTTTACTTTTTCTTCTCTTGATTGTAATTTATTATAGAAAAGTTGGAAAGTTGGAAAGTATAGGCTAATAAAAAAATAAAAACCACCCATAATTCTATCACACAGCACTGTTAAATAAGCACTGTTAACATTTTAATATATTATGTCTAGCCATTTTTTCAGTGAATAAAAAGATTATATTTAAACTGGGATTATAAAATATGCAAAATTTTCTATTCTGCTTTCTTTACTTAACATGAAATACACAGCAGTTCCTGTGCCATTGGAAAGTCGTAAAAATGTTTAGTTCATAATGGCTGTAGCATTTCATTTTATGTCAAATCATTGCTAAGAGATAGGAAAATTTTCATTTTTAAAATGTACTTTCAAATTTCAGTTTTTATCTTAGAACACACATACCATTTATATCTAGTCCAAGTCTTCCTTCTTGTAGAGATGCAGTAGAGTTGTGAGTTTCAAAGGTCTAGGAAGGAAAAGGAAAAGTGAATGTTTTCCTAATTTTAACACCTTGAAGTACAGCTACTAATTGGTTTTCGTACATAAAAGTATGTCAAATTTTATCTTTATTTTTTCCAACAAAAAGAGGTTTGTGGCTATATCTAGGCTGAGTTGAGCATTTCAGGACACAATATTCAGAGACTGCTAGGGCCAGCAACATGGCTGTTTTATGTGAGGAGCTCTACTTTGTCATCATATCTGGAAATATAGTTGGTGAGTGCAAAAGCTAGAGGAATCAAAAGCACTGTTTGCAATGTGATGTTTCATCTTTATAGCTGTCTTTATAATCCTAAAACACTCACTGAGATTGTTTTGAAAAATAACTTTCCTACTCAAAGTCTGAACCTCTCAAGCCCATTCTCTTACCTTCCCCCACTGAAGCCAGTTTTTTATAATTATTTGACAATGTGAATTTTCCTAGGAATACAACTGTCATAGCAGAACAGTTGATATCAATTTTATGGAAGGATGGTGGGGAGGGGTGGGGGCTGCTATGGGAGAAAATCATTATCTAACTTCTTAATGTTAGATTTTTTTTTCTTAAAGATAGGCTTGCAGAGAACCATCACTTCTTTCTACTTAGAACAAATGAAAATACATAAGTATAATATATCTAAGGGCTCAAGGATATACACAGAGCATTAATAGTCCACCTACAGGAATCTGAACATATGAGCACACAGATGCCATGCAGAGGAAAAAATAACCCTGATCCTGTGAGTAAGGCTAGATCTGTTCTTATCATTAAAGGGAAACAATGCATTTAAATAATTTTAACAAATAAGTTGTGGGACTTAATAAACCAATGCTTTCTCCTTTACTTCTAACCCTTTATCACCTGGTTGACTGATGGGACAAAAAATTAATTCTACTTCTCTCTTGCATAACAGAATAATATAATTAGATGTAAAAACAGTGCTAAGTTATTCTAAAGAAAAACTCTAATTGGAATAGCTCATCTGGAAACTGGGATATATCACATAGACTCCAATGACCAATGAAGAATATAAAACACAATAAAATTATAAAAAGATGATAGTGAGGAATTATTTTGTTTCCTTTCATATTAACCACAAGCTTTATTTACTTCAATAATACCTGAAGTGATCTTTTTTTGTTGGAGGTGGACTTTCCCAATTGCTCAGTGGCTTTTAGGTCATGTGTGAAAGAGAAAATGGGGGACTTAACTTTAAAGAGTCATTGATTGGCTTACCTGATTATACTGTTTAAAAACAATAGTCTTAAGAGAGTCCAGATATTGGCTTCTGAGGTCCATTTTCATAATCCGATGGTGTTTGCTAGCAACTGTCAGTGCCTTGGAGTGAAAATTAGCAAGACTATTAGGATTACTATGTTCATCTCTGTATTTTTAATAGTTGTCACAGTACAATATAGGAGCTGTGAACAGTTTCCACTTAAGAGTGAAAATAAGTCCAGAAAAATGTAATCTCATGACCTGTTACTCATCTTAAAAAAACAACAAAAAAATGGCTAATGGCATTAAAATTCTCATAAATGCAAAGTATTTTGTACCATTTTTAGAAATGTGATCCTGTTTAAAGTTATGAATTATAATAAAGTTCAGACTTAGGAAAAAAACAATGAATACTCAACTGCTGCCATTTTAGAATACCAGTAATCTAATACTACTAAGATACTGCCAAACAAAAATGCAAATATGTATGCTTTAGGACAAATATTGATGAAAAAAGTACATATTAAGTGCAATTTATAAAAGCTTCCCATTATCTGGAGAAACCAGTTATAAGACTGAATCAGGATTAATACAATATTTACCTGGAACTAGAGGGTAGAGATAAGTTTGCCTTAAGACACAGAATGGAAATGAACATTAACTTTTGCTGTGGCAGGGTGGACTCATCTGGCTGTAAGTGGATGACCGTTATATAAAGAGAAGAAGCGATCCCAAATGAAAAGAAGCAGAGTTAAGTTTTAAAGGGAAGTAGAAGCCAGCCGCAGTAGAAATCTTTCTGTCATTTCAGTGAACAGCCAAGAAATTTAAATAATAAGCAAGTCCACCTGCTGGGATCTTACAGCTTTTGAATGCACAACCCTGCAGTGCATGCTCCACTAGTACTAGAGATGACAGCCAGGAAGGTGGAGCTGTTCACATACAACCAGCTAAAGTGGTAGCTCTGGCACCAAGTGAGGTGTCATTGCAGTTGTGAAGATTAATATACAGTAAAAGCAGCAGTAGTCACCAGGCAAATTTGGGGGTGGCTTATTCTGGGGAAAGATGCTGGGAAGTCACAACCATAAAGAGAAGCAGGCTCTTCCTATGTTAAAGCAGTCTTCTGGAGTACAGAATGTGGGGAAAATGGTTACAAATGAAAATCATGTTCACTGATAAGCAAATTATGCAGTCATGAAAAAGTAGTGAGTAATAACATATGTAACCACATGGCAATGTTAGTAAAAAAAGCCAGGAGCTATGAACTACCCTAGTTTTTGTAATAAAACATCTTCTGAAAAGAAAAAACATAACTGTTAACAATAGTTATTTCGGGTGAATGAGATTGGGAAAAAGTATCTGAAGTTTTAAAAGACTCTATCTTTAGACTTCTGTGTTGGTTGAATTTTCACATTAAGCATGCATTACCTCTAGATTAAAAGACAATGAAAAGCTCCCAACCACACTTATGCCACTTCCCCATTTGGAGAAGAACAACACTTTCTGCTCCTTATTTTAGGAAATCAAGAATTACACGTTGCATTGTATATACAGTATGTATTAAGCAGCTTAAATCTACACAGATCTCTGAGATGATAATAAATTATTATAGCAATAGTAATTGGTTCCATACCTGACCTAGAAGGGGTATATTGCTCCTCAGCCGAGAGGAAGAAATGAAGGCATATGGAGTCTGGGAATAATACACCGCGTAAATAGGTTTGTACTGGTTTGGCTTTCTATACTGTGTTCCCCAGGCAATTCGAATCCATACTGCATTCTCCTCAGCATCCCTGAAGGTGACCGTCACCTTATTAAAAAAAAATATTTAAGTTTCCTAATTAAAATCTCATGGCACCAACAACACATGCTTTTTAGCGGTGAAGGATATCACTGTTATCTTGCACACCGTCTTGTATTTTCTCCAACTTTTCATTACAATGTTTTGGGAATCTTCGCGAAAATATTTTGTGGTTGTTTGTAAAGACACATATATGCTTTGCAGAGTCTTTCGGAAGAAAAAAAAATTTAAACCTCCAATCAGAGTTTTACATAAAAGTTTTTCAATAATTTCTTGGGCTTAGCCTGAAAAGCTGTGTTCCTCCACCTGGAAGAGTTTATGAAGGCAGCCTTACAAATGAAATGTTTTATGATGAAGCCTTTTTACCATGGAGCACAGACCTAGCATGCACTATAAAATTTAATAGTAATATTTCTATGTAGTAATGGGCCTAAAAATACATGTATCCTAATGCTTTTATGCATTTAGTCCAGATGCTAAAAATTACTCTAAAGGAAAGTTACATGCTAAGAATATAGAAAATTCTACTTGCTTTCCACTTAATGGATAAAATATAGACCTTTCTAAACTTTTAAATAAAATTGCTTGGTCTGAAATTCAGTAGCCAACTCCTAGATTATTAACCCTCCTGTGATTCAGCTTCCCCTTGGTGCTCAGACCCTGGAAAGGGGACACTTGAGACAAGTGTAGCTGGCTGGCCCATGTCTCATTATTTCTTCCCTCTTGTATTTTATTCCAGGAAATGCAGATCGTAACATGGCTACAGTCATTAGCAAAGAAAGCAGTTACTCTGACTCTGCCCACTCTTTATTTGGCTCCTTTTCCCTTGGTGCATCGGACAAACAACACTCTCAAGTCTTGGGTATTGAGGGCACAGAGCTATCAGACCTTCCCCCAAGTGAGCAGCACAGTGTTATGGCCCCAACAGGGCTCAGGGACCTCTACTGCCTTGAATGGAAGAAGACAGGGTCTTATTCTGAATAGTCTCTTTGTGTCACATTACCAAAGCAGAAAATGCCTATAAAATCAAGATTAAAAACAATATATGGAGGGCACATTTTTATTAGAGGGAGAAAATTGGTAGCAGTCAGCATATTCAGGTAGTCCCTCTAGCCCAGAATGAGGATACTTTGAGTGCTCATGGAGGGGCTTAAAGGTCTGTGACCTCCCTAAATTGGGTCCACAGTTGGATGTACGTGTCTAAGTGTATACTTTTCTGGAGAGTGGTGCTGTATCACTCATCAAAATTTCTGTAAGTGTCTACAATCCAAAAAAGGTTAAACCAATGGGCTAAGAGTAAAGGATGTCCACAGAGTCGGTATAATCCTGGCCCAGCTGGCTTTCAGGTGTTACAGCTCACATTCTTATAGTAAGGAAGATACCTGAAGAAGCGGGGCCCAAATACAGACCTTTATTATTTTCTGAAGAAACTATCTCATTAGATATCATCCTATAACAGCTAGGATAATGCATTTTTCATAGACGATAGCTCAGATTAATAATGCTCAAGCTTAACTAGGTGATGAATCCCACTCTCTAAACTGTCAGTAACTGGCTACCACCTACAAGCTAATGAACATATTAGAAAAAAGTTTAATGTAAGAATCAAATGATGCTTACAACACATAGAATCTCCACATATTTAACTATTAACATATTTAACAGTCTATCATTATTCTATTACATGATATACAGGAATAAAAAAGAATAAATATGCTACCTTTTTACAATGGAAACATTTTTAGTTTGTCTCTTCTTTGTAAGTTTTTCAAGAACTTTTATTTTGAATAGTATTACCTGGTAAGAGGTGCCTGCAATCCTCTCTTTGTCTCTGTCTCTTTCTCTCTCTCAGCCTCTGGACCAGATTCCTGAACCACAGGCTCTATCCATCACTCATTTAGTGCACTTCCCCACACTAACTTCTATATCTAATTGATTTGAGGGCAGGAGTTCTTACCCTGAAGTCCATGGTTAGAATTCAGGGCATCTACGAATTTGGTATAAAAATTACATCTTTATTTGTACTAATTTCTAACTGAACTTTAGCGTCTCCTTCAATTGTGAAGGTAAGCAATGAAATAGTAGAATTTTAGGATCTGTTACTGTGCTGTACATAGAAATCCCCCAATTATTTTTTTAGCACATTACAATTTTTACAGATGCCTCAGAAATATCATTTACACCCATTACTTTGAAACTAGTTGTTTTTAGACCTACCGTGAGATTATTTGTCTTAATGAAGCAGCACATGCATTACTATATCATGATTTAGTATTTTAATACCTTAATAACTATATATTATTATAACCAGTTTCCCTTATAAGTCTATGTATTTTATTTTATTTTATAGCATTTAAAAACACTCTTCCAAGAAATGGTCCATAAATTTTACTAATGGCCGAAGGGGTCCTTGGCACAAAAAAGGGTAAAATGCCTGTCCTAGAGCAGCAGGTGAGTCCTCTTCACTCCTAAGCACCAGAGGATTCTACTTGGCATGACATCACCATGAGCCTTTGGGAAAGTGGGCTTATCTGGTTGTTAAGTTATGAGGAAGAAAGTGAAGATGAGCTGGGAGTCCTTGGGACATGTCTGCCAGCTCAGGGTAGGAGAACAAGTGACAGAGAAGACACAGGAGCTTTACTTGTTCATCCTCATCATCTAAAACCTATAGTGTACACAGCACATCAGTCTCTAGCTGGCCTTTCAAACAGGACAGATATGACCCGTAAAAAAACTCCTTTACTCCCTTAGCCTCCCCTGCTGGTCTGCCTGACATTCATTCAGGAGGCAAAAGCTTTTGGAACTGGGCAGTGATAAAAAGAGAAGAAATGTAACAACTGAAGTACATGAGAATGAAAGGAGGAGGAAATACACTAGCATTTCAGACTCTTTTCTCCATGAATGGTAGGGGCAGGGAGGGATGGGGTTCAGAGAACAGAAGTTCCTGGTGCCTGAAAAAGGCATCAGGTGGGGAAAGGGCGCACTGAGATGGATGCAGATAAATTCTGAACTGGAGCAGAAACACAGCTCTCTAGGTTTCTTGTTTTTGGATGAAATAGTGTGAGAATGCTGCCAAGAGTGCTTCTCAAAACGAGTTAGCCAGTCATGTTTAACTTCATAAAAAGGCTGGTTCTAGAAGGGTCCAGAGCATAATCCACATTTATGGAGAGCTGGCCAATGAGGCTTTGCTTAAAAAAAAAAAAGCAGCTGTATGTGCCACACCCACAGTTCAGATGGGACTCTCCTTTCATCTCTGAAGTTTATAATTTCATGATAAGACTATTTTTCAAATAACATAAAAAATAACTTAAGAATAAGGTAGAAAAAAGTGCTTATTCATAAAAGGATAAAAAAAGGAGACACCTTCTCTTGGCTCACAATTATCCTTGAATGAATTTATAAATTAAATGTACTCCCATTCAAAATTCTGAAGATTTTGTTTTGTTTATAAATCTGATTAAATGATTCTAAAGTTCATCTTGGAGAATAGTCAGGACATTTTTGATAAAGAAGAGTAATTGGGGGTAGGGGGCCAGTGGGCTTGCCCCAATGGTTATTAAAATATTTTGCAAAACGACAGTGATGAAAGGAATAGGGGAGTTTGCACATAATGTGCTCAATTCATTTATTTCCCAGCCTTTGTTGAGCCCCTGCCTGTGTCGGTAGGGAGCAGGATGGTCAGAGTTCTGCCTTCTGGGAGCCTACGGGAAAACTGACAGTTAAGCTAGAAAATGGGAAGAATACGGTGACAGGGAATAACCAGTTCAGAGCTCAGGGAAGCACTCTCCGAGGGAGCACCATTTAAGTGGAGGTCAGAGGGATAGGGAGGAATGAACTGTGCAAAGGCTACGTTGTATAAGTTGTTCCAAAGAGAGGAAACAGCCTATGGCAAGTTCAAGAACTCAAGGATTAGTTCAATTTGGCTGGAGTGTAGAGCACAGGCAATGACACATGAGAGGCAGGCAGTGGATCTTGGAGCATGAGAAGCAAATCAAGGGTAGAAAATAGGCTGTAAAGGTATGAATGAATCTGAAGAATCCGATGATGATAAACCAGGGGAAAAAGCTGAATTAGTCAACAAATGGTGTTGGGACAATACATTAGCTTCTGAAAGAAATTATAAATTACTCTATCCTTTCTTTCTCCGAAGAAAATTCCGGTAGCTTAACCTCATTGGAGGAGAGCTGAGTGCAGAACCTCGTGGGAGGC